AAGGACGGAAGTCTGCCCAGTACTCTGCTCCTACCACACTGAAAAGAAACAGAATAGTAGACAGCTGATGCCTCCAAATTTACTCAACTCATGTATTGCAAATCAAGAAGAGAACTAGACTCACTCCTTTTTTTCAAAGACTTCCTGAAACAGAGATTGCATAATTCCTTTCTGGAACCTTTTACTTGGACTGACTAATCTTATTTCTTGGGATATTCATTATCCTCCATTTGAACTTTTCAAGATTCATTTAAAAATATGAATTGACACATGTGGTTGAGCTTTCTTAGCAAAGTTCAGAAGGTTCTTAAACATGTAATTTTTCATTTTTTTAAGAAAAGGGAATCTATTCAAAATGTAGTTGAATAAACATTTGTTGCACTATGAAATACTGACGAACAACAAGAAAGTGAAGCATTTGGATTTTAAATGAAATTCAGCTTGTTTAAAAAAATTTTTAAAAAAATTAAAATCAAAGAGATTGAAAAAATATTTACAAAGAAAATACTAAAACAAAGGCGATATAACAAGTTCTAATTTGGGTCAAAGAGCCTACTAGAGATTAGCAAGGACACAAATACTGCTATTAAGGAAAAATCCACCAAGAAAATATATAAACTTGTATTCACCTAATAGCTTCAAAAAAATATAGGTCATTAAATATGAAATGTCCGATTTTGAATGAATTTGCCATCTTAACTGTAGCTTGTTTATGCCAGCAGCAAAGAAGCCTAGAGAGCAATTGGCAATGAAATCATGAAAGGCATTTTCCACACCTTCTTGGGAATCAACTATTTTTCCTTGCAAGAAGTGATCCAACACCTGGAAAAAGTGGGAGTCGGTGCAAAATCTGGTGAATATGGTAGATGACAGAGAGTTTCCAAGTCCAGCCTGTGCAGTTTGAGCAGCGTTGTTTGTGCTACATGTGGTCGAGCATTGTTTTCCAAGAGGATTGGCATGTCTCTATTGACCAGTCTTGGCTGCTTAATCACAAGCATCCTCATCATTTTGTCCAATTGGTTGCAGTAGACATCCCCTGTTATCAATTGACCAGGTTTCATGAAGCTGTAGTGTGTACTACCAGCACCGGACCACCAAACAGGCACCATTAGCTTTTTTGGATGAATATGTGATTGTGGACTGTGTTTTGGCACTTCAGCTTTACCCAGCCATTGTGCCAAATGCTTGCAATTATCAAAAAGAATCCATTTTTCATCACATGTAACAATACGGTGTAGAAATGGTTTGCCTTTATGTCATGACAGCAAAAATAGGTGAGCTTCAAGATGATTTCTCTTCTGACGCTTATTCAATTCATGTGGAACCCATCTATCCGGCTTCTTTACCTTGCCAATTTGTTTCCAGTGGTCCAATATTGTTGGAATAGTAACGTCAAACCTTGATGCTAATTCATGTCTAGGTTGAGATGGATTCCCTTCTCCTACAGCTTTCAGCTCATCATTATCCACCTTGATCTAAGGTTGCCCATGTGGCTCATTTTCAAGACTAAAATCTCTAGAATGGAACTTCTCAAGCCATCCATGTACTGAGGTTGCCTTCTATTTCTAGTTTGCCAAGATTTTAAAAAATAATTAGTAATACATTTATCAATACTTTCCCCCCTATGAAATAATCACAGGGTTTTTCTTTATATGTTGATTAATGGGTTATTTTTGGTTTCAGATCATTACCATAATTCTGGAATAATACCTTCTTGATCATTTTGCAATTTTATGTTAATATGCTATTGATTTGTGTTTGCTAAAATTATATTTAGGTTTTTTTTAATGTAGATTATGAGGTGAAATTGTTCTAAAATTTTTTCATGAATTGTAATGCGCTTGTACAATTCTGACTTCAAGTTTAAAGTAGTCTCATAAAATTAATTGAGTCTCCCTCCTTCTCTGTTTCATGAAACAATTTACATATAAAAGGCACTACCTTTACCTTAAACATTTCATAATGTTATACTGTGAACCATTGGTCTAATATTTTTGTTGAAAGGAAATATGACTGATAATTCAATTTGGTACTTAGTCATTGGTTTAAGTTTTCTGTTTTGAGCGAAATATCCATTTAATCCAAGTTTTCAAATTCATTGTTAATAAATGGTTCATAATATTCACTTGTGACTTTTAAAGTCTCTATCTATAGTTTTGATACCCTTTTCAGTTCTTTTATTTTCTGATATACAATTTAAGCTCTAGCCCTTTTCAATTTTAAAAAAAACCCATAAAACAAAAATTGAGAGGATCAACAAAAGAACTAATCAATATAGTCAGCCCCGTGTATCTTCTGTATCCACAGCTTCCACATCTACAGATTCAACCAACTGTGGATCAAAAATATTTGGGAAAAAAATAACACAACAATAAAAAATAATAAAACCTTTAAATACTGCATAACAATTTACAGAGCATTTACATTGCATTAGGTATTATGTGTAATCTTGAGATGATTTAAAGTATACAGGAGGATGTGCCTGGGCTATATGCAAATACTACACCAGTTTATATAAGGGACTTGAGCATCTGCGGATTTTGGATCCTCTGGAGTCCTAGATGTAACCCCCTCAGATACCGAGGAACGCTGTATGTGGTTATCTGATGAAACTAATAAATAGACATTCCTCTGTTTAAATCTAGATAAGAAATGATACACAAATAGTATTTAGATATAATTTAAGGCCCCTTCCAATTCTAAAATTCCATGATTTTACAATTGTGGATTATCAAGTTTTTGCCAGGTTTCTTTGCCTATTTGTCATCCCACATGGTTGCTAAACCCTAGATAAGCCAGGGATGGGAGAAAGTCTCTGTGTCTTACTTAGCTGGTGTGCTCATTTGCTGATCTGGTTAGAGGAGATAAAACAACTGAACTGGTTGACTCTGATGTAGTCGTTGCTCCCACAAGGCAGCGCCATAATGTGCCCCTACTGAACACCTGCAGTGTAACAGGGTCTGTGCTGTGTGAGATCAGAGTCCAGAGGTGAAAAAAGTACACACCCTACCCTCAAATATCGTAACAGCCAGGGTAGACAGACATAAAGTAGCTACACAAACAATGACAATGATGAAGAGTACCATGCTAGAGAAAGGTAGGTGCTGCAACAAGTGACTGACAGAGCCTGGGAAGATGAAGTGAACATGGTGCTGAGTGAGGGCCAGAACTGGGGTAGGAGGGCAGGAAATGGTATGTGGAAGGAGTAGCTTAGTGTGTTCAAGATACCCCATAAGTTGGGCTGACCCGACCCAGGAGAACATCAGAAGGAGGTAGAAGCTCTTAGGAAATGGGGGCTTTATCCTGGAAGCAATGCGAAGCCACTGGATGGATTTGAACACCACTACTGGTTAAGCACTTGGAAATCTTGCATCTCAGTAACAGTGGGTCTGCAGTTATTTTTTCAAAACAAAATTATATTTCTCCTGCTCAAGTAAGCAAGGGCCACTAGTAGGTATCCCACATCTGATACCTAAACAGTTAGTGGGGTAAATGTTCTCTTTAGTTAAGCCATGACTTTAAACTTATTACATTTGTTAGCTTGAAGTAGGTTTGCAATATAGTACATTGTCTGGGTTTTTCTTTTTAACTCCATGGCTTTTAAAAATGTATTTACTGTAATGTATATTTTGAAAACGTCTTGTAGGATATTTTCTGGCTGACTGCATTATGATCATGTGAACTGTTGTCCATGAACTGCAGGCTTGGTTAGGGCACCTTCTCCCATTTCTCTGTCACCTTGCCTCATCAGAGCTCAAAAAGTGTGGTACGTCAGCTTGGATTAATTGAAGAGGGGATTTCATGCTAATTCTTGGCAATCCCAGTCTCTTATCTAATCTCCCTAAATTTCTGTGTTTCATAAGGGACAAAAGGAAGAGCAAGTTGTATAACCACCAAACTACTATCATCTTTTGTTGTTACATTAACCCATGGGTTATTTATCATGGCACTGTGACTAGATAGCTTTATCGTGTTTGTTTGAAATGTGTGCTCTAAACTGATATATTTGTTTGACAACTTTATTGATATTTCAAGTTGAATAATCATTTATATTTGAGTATTTAATTCTTTGAAGATATTGCCATTTAAAAGTTTTATACTTTTTCTGATCAATGGTTCACCAAAGTTTTATAGTGATATTAGGCTTGGCATAAATCAATTTGTAAATTTGCCCTTCTAAAAAATGTATAGCTTTATTAGATATCCCCTTAGGATTTCATAGTTATATAACAAAACATTTTGTTTATATGGCAGTAACTTATAGACCAGAACATACATACATATATATATGTGTGTGTGTATATATATATATGGAAAGAGAGAGATTTATTTATATATATTCTAATATGTGAAAACCATAAACAAATGTGGGAACTTCTAAACATATCTAATTTTAAATGTCTATCCAATATAATGGTGAACCACTAAGCTAATAAACTGGAAAAATGGAATAAAGTGGGAGAAATTACTACATTTGTGTTTATCACATCCTTAGAGGCATAACTTGAAAAATAACTCCCTAAATGACTACTTATCAGTCATTTATTTAATAATTAGAAATACTAACAAATAATGGCATTACTAATTGAAATATCAAATTTGATAGGCTCTTATTTCTCTACTAAAATGGCTTCCTGAAAGTATCACAAGAAGTTAAAGAATTGCATGTCAATTAAATTTGAACTTTTCTAGTGTTCAAATGGAAAATGCTGAAATATATATTCAAGTTGCTTTGCACTAAATTGACCACTAATGATAATAAAATTTAATATATGGTAATGTTACACCGAAAGTGGTAAGAATCTGTAATATTCATTATGGAATTTGCCAATTTTGAATATTGATTTATCTTTTAAGTTCATTTTGTTCCTGAAAATTCAAATGCTGAAATAATATTTTATCAGCATTTTCTAATTAGCCAAGTGAACTTCTTATGAAAAATTTAAACATTCTCATCCAACTAACAAGTCTATCTATCTTTTCTTCTCTTGTTTTGTTAGCCTCTTAGCAAGTATCCTGCTGTGATAAATGACATTTCATTCTGGTTGCCCTCTGAGAACTATGCAGAGAATGATTTCTATGACTTAGTCCGGACAATTGGAGGAGACCTGGTGGAAAAGGTTGATCTTATAGACAAGTTTGAACATCCAAAGTAAGTGAGAAGTTTTCTGCTTTTATCCTTTACTGTCTCTGTGTAACAAATGTCATACGGAAGCATATGATAAAATTTTGCTGAAACCCAATCCATCTGAGATGAAATGTCTTCTGAATTTCTAGTGAATGGGTAGCTTATCAAAAACCTCTTTTATATCAGTCCTCTCTAAAAATCTTTCTATTAATAAAATGCATTTTCAATCTTTCCTGCCTTAGTAAAGAATGCATATGAAACAAATGCTTTAAAGATCTTGAAGTTTTTCAGTATTGTTGTTGAAGTGATCTCTTACCATATCATATGATGTTCCAGGTGCAGTGGAGATGAGGTAGAGAGGTTTGTGGAATAAACTTTGTTGTGTTAGTCTCTCAGTGTATATTTATTAAGCACTTACCACATGGCAAGACCTATATTATTGGGACCTAGGAATTAAGTATGTTCCAAATGGACTTAGCTCTATGCTTTCTTAGAGTTTACAGTCTTACGGGAAAGGCAGATATTAAATACATAATTACACAAGTTTGTAGTGACTATTATGAGGGAAAAATGCATTGGGTGTAATTAAAGAACGAACTTCAGTTGGGGAGTCAGAGCAGGCCGCTTTGCGCCACGTAAGCTGACGCAGAGTGTGATGGGTGAGGAGGAAGGGCCAGGAGTGTCCCAGAGAGCACAGGCAATGCCGGGGGAGATGGCAAGAACACGGTGGCTCACGGAACCAGGGGGAGGGGTGTGAAGTGATGATTGTTGGGTAGAAGTGTGTTCACAGGCTGAGGCAAGGCCAGAACTTGCAGTCTGAGACTTGGATTTTTATTCAAACTGCAGTTGGGAGCTACAGAAGAATAGAAGCAGAGAGATGAGTGACATGATCTAATTTATGTTTCTGACTTATCACCTATAAATGGTCCCCTTTGACCTCCAGCTGTTAGAGAAGGTGCAGTCACCGAACCTTGTATAACTCACATCTTCATTCTCCCTTCCCCTCCTGGTTGTCAGGGCATATAGCTTCCACATTCTCTGCTGTCATTCAAATCTCCACCGTTTTCCTTCTTTATTTTTTAAAGTCTTTCTTCTTTTGATAAAGATGTTCAGTGCTCACTGCCAGTTCTTTTGCCTCAGTTTCCACAGTAGTCTGGATGACTAAAGTTCATTCTCCAGAAGGAGAATGCTCAGGGACTGGCATCAGTATTCCCAGAGCCTGTTCAAAACTGTTTATCTGTTTATACTCGAATGGCAGCTAGGTTGGATGTGACTTGCCCTTTCTTTTATTGAGGATCTTAGTGTGGTTCCAAATCCTCTGGATTTTAATTTGATATAAAGAAATATGATACCAGGCTTGTTTGATCTTTTCACTTTTTGTCCTAAAGGATTCTCTTTATCTTTTTTTTTTTTTCTTTTTTTGAGACAGAGTCTCACTCTGTTGCCCTGGCTAGCGTACAATGGCATCATCATAGCTCACCGCAACCTCAAACTCCTGGGCTCAAGTGATCCTCTTGCCTCAGCCTCCCGAGTAGCTGGGACCACAGGCATGTGCCACCATGCCTGGCTAATTTTCTATTTTCTTTCTTTTTTTTTTTTTTCTTTTTTTAGTAGAAATTGGGGTCTCGTTCTTGCTCAGGCTGGTCTTAAACTTCTGAGCTCAAACAGCCCTCTCAACTTGGTCTCCCAGAGTGCTAGGATTATAGGTGTGAGCCTGGCACCCAGCCTTTTTATCTTTAAAGTTTAATAACCTGATCGGGACGCCCCTCGTGTTAACCTGTTCTCCCTAGTCTATGTTGTTGTCTCTCATAGGTCAGATTTGACTGCTTTTATTTTAGGAAAGTTTTCTTGAATTATGTCTTTAGGGATTTGTTCTGACCGGTTCTGTTCTGTTTCATTCTTCAGGGATCCCAATTGTGCATAAGTGGGTTCTCCTTTGTCTTGACTTCTGTACCTATTATTTTTCTCTCTAATATTTTAAAACTCTTTATTTCCACTTCAGTTGGTATGGTCTGCTCATTGTTATCTTCTCTGTCCCTTACCGTGTTTTCTGCTCTTTTTTCTCCCTGGTACACATTTCATCTCCATCTGCAGTTACTTTGTTTTTCACTCTTTTCTGAATTCAGCAAGCTTGCATTTTAGCTCCTCCTGTTTTCTTGCCATCTCTTCTGAGTTATTTCTGCTTTGTGAATTTCCTTCATGGAGAAATTGCTTCACTTAGTTTTTAAAATTCATTGTAAAATATTTAGCCAGAAATTTCATATGCTCCAGTGGCAACATTTTTCTGTGACTTTTCTGTTTATAAGTTTTCTGCCATTTTTCTCATTTTTTTCCCTTAACTCGTTTTTAATAGCTCTATCAATGGTGTACATATGATTGCCTTTTTGTCGCTCATATTTGAATGCATTGGGTTTTCTGAACCAGCTATTTGTACAAGACTGGGGGTGAGGTCTGGGGTTGGCACAGCAGGGAGGGGCTGGGGCAGTCATTCAGCCTTTTCACACCCGTAAGGCTTTTTCTCCACTGCCAAGAAACCAACTCTTTCTTTACATATGATTCATCTCTTTGATCCCTTGTATAGGTCTGCCTCCCCCCCCAAATCTAAACTTGTTAGAAACAGAAAATTTTACCTTTGCTTACCCCAGTATCAACATTTGGTGATAGGGACTTTGCACTTGTAACCCTTAGCTCTGAATGAAAACATATTTTTGTTGGAGTTCTCTGAAATATGCCACTCTATGTATTTCTTCTCTTCACTTTCTCCTATTTGGCTTCTACTTGATTCAGCTGCTGTTGGCAGCCTTTAAATATCTTTTGGAGCTTACAGATGATATCTGTCTCCTAACTTTATGGAAAATAGAATATATGGGATAATCTGGATCCTTGATCCTGTGAGGAGCCAATTCAGCCGTGGACTTTCATGTGAGAGAGAAATTTCCAGAGTTTCCATGTTGATACCAAAAGTTTGGTTATTTATTTCTCAAGAGGAGGAAAAATATTGGAACAAGACTGAATGCTAAGTACTAACTGATATGCCAAAGGCATATGACTTGTAATTTTTTCCTATTCTTTTTTAATACAAGTTGAGTATCCCTTATCCAAAATACTTGGGACCAGAAGTATTTCAGAGTTTGGATATTTTGAATTTTGGAATATTTGAATATACATAATGAGATATCTTGGGTATAGGACCCAAGTGTAAACATGAAATTTATTTATGTTTCATATATCTCCTTATACAAGTAGGCTGAATGTGATTTCATATAATATTGTTAATAATTTTGTGCATGAAATGAAGTTTGTGTACATTGAAACATCAGAAATCAAAGTTGTCATGTCAGTGCTCAGAAAGTTTCAGATTTTGGATTTTCAGATTAGGGATGCTCAATCCTACAGAAAACTCTCTGGAGTCAAGGATTCAGAGTTTCATTGTGAATTTTTGACTCCACCGTCCCTTGCTGTCTGCTATGGCCTCAGCTCCACCCCTGACTCTCCCACCACCATGTCAAAGTTGAGAGGAGTAGCCCCTTTGTGTTGGAGATTCCTAGAACCTATAAGGTTACAAAGAGAGGTTCAAAACCTAGGAAGCTGAGAGAGGTTTCTGCTGTGCTGGATGTGAGGGGAGATGTGGCTCAGTGTGAGTGGTAAATATTGACTCTTTCTGCCTTGTAGGTAAGTTGGTAATTGGAGAGATTTGCAGTGGGAGTAGAGCAGGGTCTGGCTCCTGTGAACCCAGGACAGATCAGGCAACAGGTAGTTCATTAAAAAAAAAAAAAAAATCACTGGATTTTATTAGAAATACTCAACCAAAAACAGTTCTCACTGGCACTGATCTCACCGTCTCTTAAGTAAATATTGTACAGATATTTAAAGATTATCGTTTTGGAGCTACGCCAAATAATTAACCTGCCCAAGGCATGCCTCTTAATAAGGGGCTTGGTGATTGAGTAAGGTTCCTTCAGCAGAGATTGCTGATTATCTCTCAATATCAAACCCTCTTCCCATTTTTGTGATGATATAACCCTTATTGTTTAGCTAAGCAACTTTCTACCCAACTAAAAGTCTCACTTGAAGCTTCCATTATTCCTAGCCTACCACAGCCAGCTGGCCAAGTTTGGCCCATAATTTATAAGCAGCAGTGTTTAGTGGTGTTTCTAGAAATTTCTTTAAAAGTTGAGTTGAGGCTATTCTTTTTCCTTCCTGCTACTTGTTTGCAAATGTGATGGCTGGTACTCTGGCAGCCACGTTGGACCATGCTGTGACCTTGGCAATGGAAGCTGTCTGGAGTGGAGCAACGGCGTAGAAGTAGCCTGTGTTCCTGATTCTGTGGAGTATCAGTTCAGCCTCGTTATTAATAGCCAAAGCTAAACCTAGCTATGGTGCCTCTGAGAAACATACCTGAGGAAAAAAACACATTATTCAGTAATGATGGCTTACTGTGCAATGATTCTCAATAATTATCTAGGGCAGAGGTTGGCTAGATTGTGAATATTTTTGACTTTGTGATCACATGCTCTCTTTTACAACTACTCAGCTCTGCAGTTGCAAAAGCAGCGACAGACAAAATGTAAATGAATGAACCTCACTATGTTCCAATAAAACATTAATTACGAAATCAGGTAGAAGACACGTGCTATAGTTTGCTAACCTCTGATATAGGGGAGGGAGATACATGAAATGTTTTAAAGACTCAGATCACGGACTCTAAAACCTCCCCAGGGACTCTTCCTTCCTTCTGAACCCCAAGTCCCTGACTTGAGTGGTAGGAAGTGAATGGTCTCTTGACCTCAAATCTTGACCCCAAGATTCATTTTATTCTCTAAACATATAAGTGAAATATTGCCAGATAGTGCCAAAGAGCTCTGACGTTTTCTTTGCCTAACATCAAAGCACAGCTCAGTGTGAGATATGCTAGGACTGAGTGAAAGGATACTCTCTGAAATAAACAAGTGGTTGAACACGTTGTTATTTTGTAACAAGAACAGATCCCAAAAGTTTCAGGGAGAAATAAACTGTCGAATATGAAGCTAATTTCCTAATATTAGACAAATGGAGAAATTATTTTCATAATTATCAATAACAGTTTGTGCCCTGAAGGAGCATAGATGTTCAGGTTAGAAGAAGATGGCATTCTGTTCCATCTAGTCATTTAGAACCTTCTCCCAGAGGATCTTTGCCACTTAATGTGCAGAAGAGTTCTTGTAGTTCAAAAAGATATAATGTTAACAAAAAATATAACGATTACCTCTGGGGAGAGGAGCCAGATCCCCATGTGTCCATTGGTACCTTTGCAATGGTGTGCCTCATTCATGCATTGACTGATGAGAAAATTTAAGAAGGTGAGTCATGTGTGTTGTCATGTGAACCTGATAGCCCTTCAACACATTTGTGGATACATTGATCATCTTTGGTCTCTAAGTTCATGCAACTTAAGGAATTATGGTAGACTGTTTATTTTCTTCTATTTCACAATTGCTCAAAATATTTCTTAGCCTAAAGTATGAGATAGAGTAAAGAGGAGCATGGGGAAGCTTAACCATTGTCTTCAGTGTGGACACTTCATTTGGAGATGCCAGACAATTATTTATGGATTGTAGAGGTAGACTATAATGTGAAGTGGACCTAAATAGGACAGATTTGGTTTGGATTTAAGACAGACCTTTTGAGAATTAGAATTGGGGCATTAAAAAAAAAGTATTTGATTTGACTACAAGACGGTGGTGATGGTGGAAAATATCCCAGGTATCTGCAGCAGGGGCTGGCTGGTGAGGGTGGGTACACTGATGCCCCCAGATCAGTTCTGTTCACAGGTTCCTTCCTTGTTCCTGGGGCTGCTGCTTACCTGCCACATCCTTTTCATACAGGCATAGGCAGGGTTTCTTTAATCCATGAACTGGCAGTCAGAGCTGAGGTGCTAGAGGTGAGCACCCTGAACTATAGGTCACTAAAGGCGAGTCTCAATTCTCCTCACCCCTACTTGGTCTTCCTAACAATTATATTCCCTTTTGCAACCCATCACAGTTTCTAAACATTTGGCATTAGTGGGTGTACCAAAACACTTGTCACAATGTTGAACAGAATACTCAAGAAGGTCACCATGAGAGGCACCTGCTCAGTGTGGCCCACCTGGCTTCCAAATGGACGTGAGTCATGGACATTGACCTGGTCACAGATCGCCACTGTGTGACACTGGGAGCAGCATTTGATAGGACAGTTCACATGAATTCTCCTTTCTTCCTCCATTCCCTCCAGTCTCCCTCCCTTCTTTCCTTTTTCATATGTTCATTTGTTCTTGCTTTGTCAAATTGCAGCCAATATAAATACCAGTGAGATTTACCCATATCCTTTAATGGAAAATGTCTTATGTTTCTTATGAAAAATGTCTCCTAAAATTGTGCTTGATTTTTGTGTTATGACCAGTGGGGAGAAAGGATGGAAAGATGTCATGGGGAAGGTGTTCTACTGGGGTTTCTTATAGTCCCAAGAAACAGGTTTAAATTAAGTTCACTCTTCCACGGTGTGTCTGCCTATTGCTGCTACTCTGTTCCATTTTATTTTCTCAAACTGTCTCTCACTTCACCTTCCCCCCATGTAACCTCTGCTCTTCCTTACCTTGCACAAAGTTGAGAACCTCACCTAGCTCCTGAGTCCACATGACCTTCAGTACATCAGCACCAACTCCAAGTTCTGGCCTGATCCTAACATTCTCTACAAAGGAATCTGAGTGACCCAGCTCAACTTTTCCTGCCAGACCAGAGGCCATTAGGCAGCCAGCAGTGGGCTCCACTTGAGTCAGATGCCTGCCCTTGGTCTAATTAGCCACATGGGTCAGGTGGATGGGCCAGTAGTTTTACCACTTATCCAGATCCTTCTTTTTTTCTCTTTAATCTAAACTGTAGGTTCTAATTCAGGCACTACCATTTTTAAACTTCCTTGAACTTCACACAAAGAGACATGCCATAGATACATTTACCAATTGATTCTTGAGCTCCTGTGTTACGGGAAACATCAGGCTAATTGCTGTGGGAGCGTAAGGGTGTTGAGGCAAGATCCCAGTTTTTATGGAGCTCATAACATGCAAAAAGCAAAGTAGCAATAAAAAGCATTAGGTGATGATGAGCTTGGTTAAGCCTAATGAGTGGCCTGTGCAGTTTCATACACATAATTCATGCCCAAGAAACTTTCATTGAGTGAAATGAGAGGCATATACCTACAGCTATAGATTCAAAGGGGAGAGGCCTGATAAGATTTGCCAAGTAGACAGAACAGCTAGCTCTCTAGGTTTGTCTTTCTTCTGCTACCTGTGAATGAGATGTACATATTCCTGAGTTTAGTTAATGTGACTAAGCTTTAGTATTAATAGAAACCCTCAGTTTCCACAAACTGTTGCCAAGACAGACTAACTTACAGTGGGCACATTACGACAAAGGGGATTTACTTAAGGCTACACCTGAATCAGAACTTGAAAGCTGTCAGGAACTGAAACAGGTCTAAGGGCCATAGACCCTCTGCATCCAGGTGCCTCTGGCTCTGTTCCTCTCCTGCCTTCTCCTGGCCTGCTGTATCCTCCTCTTCCCCACCCATATTCACACATTAACTTCTCTGCCTATTTCTGCATTGCCTATAGCCTCTTCTGGCCAGTCCTTTCCATTTTCTTGGTACAAATTCTGGAAAGTAGCCTAACTAAGCTAACTACCATCACACATTTTGGGCAAAATCCTTTGCTGCCTCCCGGGGTTCTGAGCAGTCTGCGGATGGACCACTGTTAGGTTAAAAATTCATTGTTGGGCCAGGCACAGTGGCTTATGTCTGTAATAACAGCACTGTGGGAAGCCGAGGTAGGAAGATCACTTGAGGTCAGGAGTTTGAGAGCAGCCTGAGCAAAATACCCAAGACCCAGTGCCTACCAAAAAAAAAAAAAAAAAAAAAAAAAATTAGTGGGGCATGGTAATGCACACCTGTAGTCCCAGCTACTTGGGAGGCTGAGGCAGAAGGATCGCTTGGGCCCAGGAGTTTGAGATTGCAATGAGCTGTGATGGTATTAAGAAATAAGGCCTTTGGGGAAGTAATGAAGTCATGAGGGCTCTGCTCTTAGGAATTAATGACCTTATAAAAGAGGCTTCAGAATGGCTAGCCCCTTCCATCTCTTCCACCATGGGAGGACACACTATTCATACTTCTTGCCCTTTTCACTCCTGTCATGTGAGGACTCATATGAGGAGCCATCTAGAAAGCAGAGAGCAAGTCTTCACCAGGAACCAGATGTGCTGGCACCTTGATCTTGGACTTTCCAACCTCCAGAACTGCAAGAAATCAATTTCTATTGTTTATCATTTACTTAGTCTAAGATATTTTGTAATAGCAACAAGAATGGACTAAGACAGTAGCTTGTTTCCATCTTCCCACAATGTTTATATTAGTGGAGGGAAGTTCACTACATAATGCTTGGTGGATGGTTAATTAATCCTTCTTTATCCTTTAGAGAAGCTTTTATTAAGTGATTAAGAATAGTTATGACATAAGAAGTAGAGGCAATGTCGTTTAGTGGAAAGAGCTCCGAATTTAGAATCACAAGCCATTGGTTAAGCCCGGACTTTCCACATCCTGGATGTGTGATGTTGGGACCTTGTGAGCCTCAGTGTCCTCATCTACCACCAGGAGTAATATATCATCCATAATGGTACCTATAAAAATTAGATGATGCTGTATATGTGAAATGCTTTGGAAACTATATAGAATTCTAATATTTTTTTTTAGCTATTAGAGTAAAAAAAAACTTTCATAATCAATCAAACTTGTTCTTTAAGATTAAGAATAACATCAGTAGAGCTGGGAGTCTTGGATTTGGCAGCCAAATACATATAACTGAGAAGTTCTGGGAATGAAGGGAAGCAGAATGAGACTTTTCATAAAATTGTCATTCTGAAATGATGCATGTTCTTCCCTCAACTTAATGAGTAAATTTTATTCAGAAAAAATAAAAATACTTTGTAAAGTGACATAGATGCTGGTCAGTGCAGCTATGTAACCAATGTGGGTGTTCTCTGAGTCCTGTGTTGGGAAAATGCCAGGGACAGTGGCAGATAGGGTGATATCTCCAGTTTGCAAAGCTTGCCTGGTCTAACTTCTTTTGACAGCCCCAATGAGTGCATTTATCTAAACTTAAAAATTGCCCAAAGTGAAAAGCCAGTGACAGCTAATCTTGGGACAGCAGTGAGTGCAGGGAGTTTATCAGAAGTTGTGTCCCCTTGAAATTGACAGTGTGCAGCACCAATGAGAGGGCCAGAGGCAGCTGGGCCTGCTTAGAACTCTCCTTGCTGCTTCCCTTTTCTTTTCTTTTTCACTGCAGTGCTGGTGGCATGGTGCAAGAACTTTTATTGTGATGGTTCAGACAGCCCAGAAAGCAATTCTCAAGAACTATGTGTAGCCTGGATAGCTGTATTCCTTTCCCTCCTGCCCCAAGCTTTCTTTTTACAGTTTTCCACAAGGGGTGCAGCTCCTCCCTAGCACACAACAGCCCTGTTTGCCACCAGCATTAGACAAATTAAATCACAATTATTTCAGTCTCCAAACACCTTGTTCTGCCCCATCCACCTGCACGCCACCATTTGCTCAAGGATTCTTTGAGATTACCTCCAGCACTGCCCTGGCTGGGCCCCAGGAGTGGCATCTCCATAGAGAGCAGGGCAGAGGCAGACAGACTGCTGCGTGACAGCTAGGCAAGGAGAGAGAGGCCAGATGCTTAATGGACTTGTGTCTTCAGTGATCTGCTGCAGTACATCACACCTTCATGAAAATCAGCAATGAAGCCACCCATTCCTTTTTGACTCTCAGTTAGCAGTTTCCAGGGGGTTCTTTGAATATTGTCTTCACTTGGCACCCCATGGACCTTTTTGTAGTATGCAGATCAGACACACTCTTTCCAAGATGCTGGATTAGAGTAACTCACATCATTTGATGTTTCCCTGCCCTGCCCCCTGACGGTAGTGATTATATCAAAGCAAGTTAAAAGCACACCAAGAACAACCTAGAAGGGTCACAGAAACACTGCCAGAAATGAGAGGGGGCAGGGTATGCAGCCCCACACTATCATTTTGGGCAATTACGAGTGAGACTCTAAATTGTCTGGGGTCTTTGAATCTGTTATCATAGTTCACAAGATTACTTCTTTCCCCAGCTACCACCCATATTTGATGTCAGAGCCAGCAGTGGGAGTCCACCCACCCTGCCATCTCCCTGTGTGCATTCTTGAGTTCTTCCCCCTCATGGGTGACTCAGCCTTACATACCCTGGCCCTTACAGTTAATGATCTTATCTTAGGAACCAAGAGATTTATGAATTTACATATAGCCTGACCCTGCACAACCTCCAAGGGACAGTTATCCTAATTGTAGATTTTGGAGTTAGGTCTCTAAGGTGAGTGAGCCTATGATGTGTGAGGAAGTCTCAAGGACACGCAGGTGAGACCTATGGGAGTCACTGTTTAAAAATCCACATTTCTAAACAGCAAAGGTGGGCCTGGCAGACTTGGGCCTCACCTTGCCAATCTTTCCTGAGTGAGAAACAAGCTGACTTCAGCATCACACAGGCCAGGGCCACAACTCACATGGTAGTGCGGGCTGGGGCAGCTCCTTGTCTCTTGCACTGGTCATTTTCTTCAAGCTGGTCATAACTGAGGCTGAGGTAGCAGCTAGGAGGGTGTATCAGAGAAGGCAAGGGGCAGGCACATAGGGGGTGAGAGGCCAACTTCAAGATGGGGGCAACTGATGGCGGATGATCCAAACAGCATCCAAGATGCAGATGTCTGTCTTATAAGGGATGTTTGGTAGAAGGCCAGGAGGTCAGTGGACACTGTGGACCTCTGTGGCAAGGCAGACAGGTGGTCACAGAGAAACTGAGTGCTAGGTACAGCGTAGTTACAGAGGAACGTGGAGACCACTTTCCAGGGATGTGCGGCCCGATGCTGCAACACTGCTCAGCAGGACCGCCTGGTGCTCCGCTGGTGGGCTGCTGGCCCGGGCTCCTGCTCGTCTGCTTCCCAGGCCTGGCTTTGGGCTTGAAGTCAGACCGAGGCTGAATCTAAGATGTGGTGTGGTGGGGGTGGTTGGGATGTTAAATTAGAAAATCCAGCAGTCCAGCACATCTTTAGAGGGACTTACATTTTGTTTTGTTTTTAGTATGTTCAAAAGTCTGTGTCTTCACAGTGACCTACTTATTCATGTGTTGTTTGGAGCCAGAGAAGCTGTTGTCATGATTGGAAGTTAATTGGATGTCTAGTGAGGAAAAAGCTAGGTAGAATGTTCCCGGAGATTCACAAGAAAAAGAGAAAAACACCTCAAGGCAACATAGTACAAGTAAGGTAATTCCAACTTTTTAGCAGGAGCCACGTGAGACAAGGAAAAGGGGCTAGTCAGACATTCAGGAAATGATTCCACAAACCCAAACATCCCCATCCTGGGATGCAGGAAAGCAGTCATAATGTTCATAATTGGATAGCACGTCACCACCCACCTGCTCCCAGGGATCTCTGTCTCCTGCAGTCCCCACTTAAGTATTTCTGGAAGTCCTAGAGGGTATCTGCAGCAGGTGTACTTCCACTGGATGTGACAAGGACTCTCATTGGACCCTCAGGGCACAGCATTGAAACTTCGAGGCCCTCGAGGTGTCCTGTGGTATTTCTGGTTTGTGCAGAGCTGTGCCTTCCCGCCTAGTATCAACTTGTCACCTGAGACACAAGCAACTCAGCTTCGATCCCCACCCTTCTCCCCACCTTGCAAACACCCGCACCCCCAATCCTCCTTAGGCTTTCACCTCCGAGTGAACACATGCCAATAAAGCCTTGGAGATTTCACTTCATACCCAACCAAACCTCAGTTTAGACTAAAATGTTTTCCATGGGAGCACCATTCAGAAATGAGAACAGAATCAACAAAATGCTAACTTGTCTAATAATCTTTTGTGAACACAACTGTAGTCGTGCGTCACTTGGCGATGGGGATGTATCCTGAGAAATTTGCCATTGGGAGATTTTGTTTTCATGCAAACGCCGTAAAGTGTACATGCACACACCTATTAATAGGTGGTATAACCTACTACACACCTAGGCTACATGGGATAGCCCAGGGGCAGGGAACCTGTGGCCTTCGAGGTCCTTAAGTGTGGCCTTTTGACTGAATCCAAATTTTACAAAACAAATCCTTTTATTTTTATTAATACATTTTTGTTCATCTTTTATATTTTTATTTTATTTTTAAAATGAACACATTGAAAATACCAAAGAATAAAATAAGTTTCAACGAAGTAATCCTTCTAGATTGACTGGCACAGAACATTAGCAAGCCATAAGGGCTAAATTTGTGGCTGCTGCGCTCATGATATAATTCTAACTTCCCCCACCTGACTGGTGCCACTACCGTGCAAGGCTGGTTGGCGAGAGTTTATGGGGGTCAAATACATCAGTTATCAGCTTTGAACAGTAGTGCACTGTGTTTCTGTTTGAAGTGGAATTTTTGAATAGTTGCACAGACAGTATTTTTTAATTCTGTCTGCTTTAACAGCCCATGATGTCAAAGAAAACCAAGAGAATACTGAAGGAAGAAAACAGATGTTTTAATGAGGATTGAGAATTGCTATATTATCTTGTTTCTGCTAAAGATAAGAGGATTTGCTTGCTTTGTGATACTGCAATATCAACATTAAAGAAATTCAATGCTCATTAGCATTATATAACACTCATAAGGACCACAAATATTTTAAATTAGAGGGAGAGCCATGGAAGGTTATATTATAGAAATTAAAAGATGAAAAGCAAAAACAAAGACAATTCTTTCAAGCAGTATAAGACCTGGAAATAATGCC